GCGCGCACGCGGCCGCCGGCGGCGCGGCGCGTGGACGGCGGCGCGGAGCTCGCCGCCGCGGTGGGGGAGCTCCTCGGCGACGGCGACCTGCGGGCGCGCAGCAGGGCTGCAGCCGCGGGCGTGGCGGCCGCGCTCGAGCGCGGGCTGCTGGAGGAGACGTGGCGCACCTTGCGCGGCCCGCTCAATCTGCCCGACGACCTTGCCGCATCCAGCAGGAGCAGCCGGGCGCGGACTTGAGAGAGGTCTTTGAGTCTCTCGGTGACCTCCGGAGTCCGGTTTTTGTGGTCTCTCTCTTTTTGTGAGGATGTGACCGCTTGCGCGTAATCCACTATCCGTAAACCTTAATCTAGTGAGCCGAAATCCAAAAGCCCGCATGGCTTCCGTTATGGTTAATGGGCTCATGGGGACAATGTCGAAGCACGAAGCCGAGCGGAACCGGAAGCGCGGTGCGACCGCAACACTGGTTTTTTACATGTACACCGCCATGGAACTCGCATGGTACACCGCTCTCTTCTCTCGCTCAGCGTACCACGGCACGCGAGACCACGGAGCATGGTCGACGTGTCACATGTGCACTCGCCAAGCACGTCATTGCGCTACCCTCTCCCCCCTTCAAATATAGCCAGGACGCACTTTAATCGCGTCGTCCATTACCGTCTCGTCGTCCATCCTGACGTGCCTGAGCTCTCTCTCTTGCCGAGCGTCGCGGATAGCGGCGATGCAGCAGTACGCCCCCCCGACGGTGCAGAACAGCAGCAGGACGGCCACGGTGAAACACAGGATGGGCTGGCCAATCCCCACTTTTGTCTTGCGGGCGCGCCCTCCCGTTGCGAAGGAGAAGCTCAGTTCGTCCTCGATGCCAACCAGACCAAACGCGTCCGCCAAGTGCGCCCGCCAGGTGTCGTCTAACCGCTCTAGGAATGGTGAGGAGGGCGGCGGCGGCGAGGGCGGCGGCGGTGATGGCGGCGGCGAGGGCGGCGGGCGCGGAGGAGGGCTCGGCGGCGGCGGCGACGGCGGCGGCGGTGATGGCGGCGGCGAGGGCGGCGGCGTGGGCGGTGAGGGCGGTGGTGAGGGCGGTGGTGAGGGTGGCGGCGGCGAGGGCGGCGGCGTGGGAGCCTTGCCTGGCGGCGAGGGCGGTGGTGAGGGCGGCGGCGGCGAGGGTGGCGGCGAGGGCGGTGGTGAGGGCGGCGGCGGCGAGGGTGGCGGCGAGGGCGGTGGTGAGGGCGGCGGCGGCGAGGGTGACGGCGGCGAGGGCGGCGGCGTGGGAGCCTTGCCTGGCGGCAATGGCGGTGGTGAGGGCGGCGGCGGCGAGGGCTCCGGCGGCGAGGGTGGCGGCGGCGAGGGCGGCGGGCGCGGAGGAGGGCTCGGCGGCGGCGGCGACGGCGGCGGCGGTGATGGCGGCGGCGAGGGCGGCGGCGAGGGCGGCGAGGGCGGTGGTGAGGGCGGCACACGCAAAACAACGCTAGCGCCCGCGCCGGCGGCGAGCCACCCCATCATTAGGAGCTCGAAGCAGCGCATCGTTTTTATGTGGAGTGCAGCACGGCGTGCCACAGCAACAGAGGCACCCTGCCTGGCGAGACCACGCCGGCGTGCACGGCGTCTCTCAATTGCCAAAAAAAATTCGGCCTCCTTCTCGGCTTCTCCCCGCGGGTATCTCCCCGTCCCGCGGTATTCCGTCGCGGATACCCACCCCTAGCTGCGCCACCGTCTCGCCTCCTCTGTCTGATCCCGCTGAGGGAGCGTGTAGAGGATGTAGAGTGTAGAGCGCTGTAGAGCTTTAGAGATGTAGAGCGCTGTAGAGCTTTAGAGCTCCACATCTGGCGCGGGACAGAGCGATGCAGATGTAGAGCGCTGCTGAAGAACGCGACATGAGTCGCGCCAGCGCGTGCGGGAGCTCCTGGCCTGAGCGTTGAGTCCAGGCGAGTTGCGCTGGCCACGATCGCTGCGCCAAGCCGAGCTGACGCGCCGACGCGCCGGCCAGTCGCAGCCGTGAGGCATGCCACAGCAACAGAGGCACCTGCCACCCATTGGGCAGGCAGACAGAAGACCAGGGCAGCACTGGCAGGTGCAACGCGCCTCATGTCGGAGAGAGCGACCGTGCCTCGTCCGCCCTTATGATGTAGAGTTTGTTGTAGAGATTTCACGCTGTAGAGGGCCTCTACATCGCTCTACAACGCACGCAATTCGTCCCGCGGCGGATGTAGAGCTCTACAGCGCTGCATTGCTCTACAGCGCTCCAGAGCGCTCTACAGCTCTACAGCTCTACAGCGCTCTACACTCTTCATCCTCTACACCCTCCCTCAGTGATCCCGTTGACTCCGCGGACGGCGATCCCGTGCTCGACTCCCGTCTCCCCGGGGGAGGGCGGCGGCGTTGGAACGTACCGCCGCACCTCCACGAGCGGCTGGGCCAGCTCTCCCTAGTCGATGAATCGCGCCCGTGTCCGCGGTCTCTCTATCGTACCCGGGTACTCGGCTCGCCCCCCACCTCCGCAGACTCCTCAACGAGCCAGGGGTGGTGTGGGCTTCCTGGTCGTAAATCACGATGGTCCGGCTGCCGCCGCGGCGGGTCTACCCCCAGCGAGCTCGTGTGCCCCGACCCCCCTTGCAGAGTCCGAGTCAGCTCATCTCTCTCACCTCCACCTCCGGCAGCTGACTCCAGCTCCCACCCGGGTCTCTCCGGTCCCGCCTCCCAGCGTTCCGGTTCACCGGCAGATCCGCCGCCATCTCGCGACGCCTCCCCTCCCCCGCTCCCCGGTCCGCACCCCCGGGTACTCCAGCCGACGACAGGGCGACGCTGGGTTTCCCACGGCCAGTGTCCGTGTGGGTCCGTGCGGTGACGGCCACGCCGGCGGCGGGGGTGAAGGCGGTGGCGGGGGGGGCGGGTATGGTGGCGGCACGGGCGGTAATAACACCGGTGTGGTGCCTCGGGGGTGGCCCCTGCGCAGTCTCGAGAGGAAGGTGGTGGTGCTGAGGAAGGAGAGAGTTCCTCTCTCTCTCTCTCTCTCTCTCTCTCTCTCTCTCTCTCTCTCTCTCTCTCTCTCTCTCTCTCTCTCTCACTCACTCACTCACTCTCTCTCTCTCTCTCCGAAAAAAGAAGAAAACAGGCAGGGATGGGAGGACGGCACGCCGCCACCACACAGGGATTTTATTTCTCAAAACGCTTGCGCGCCATGTGCACACACACACATGGTGAAGACGGCGCCGCCGGTGGCTGCCCGGTGTTGAGCTGGTGTTGAGTGAGCGCAGGTTGGATTGTTGTCGTGTGTGCGGCAGCAGGAGGTAAGGTACGAGGAGCTCAAAGCGAGTTGAGAGTTGCGATGCTTAAAAGAGGCGGCTTGTGTGGAGATCGCCAAATATACCGCAGAAAGGGGGCGATAATTGCTGTGAACATGGAATAACGTGGGCGTCGAGCACACGCGGCGGCATTGGTCGCGAGGCGGCGAAGTGGTTCACCACCGGCTTCGCCACCAAGGTCGCCCTGGCGCGCTCCGACGGCGAGAAGTGGCGAGTGCGCAACGAGCGTAAGCGCCTCCTGCAGCAGCACTCGGCCATCATTGCGAGGCGCAACTGGGAGATCACCCAGCGCAACGCGTGGCCGAGGATGGGTGGCGTGGCGCCGCGAGCGCCGCCAGTCGAGTAGTAGTAGGGTAGGCAGTAGAGGTAGTCGTCTCAGTAGTGTCCTGTCAGAGCGTCCCGTGTCGGTCAAGCAGCGTCTGTCGGATGGTAGGAGAGAGTGCGTCGTGTGTCGTAGGAGTTAGCCATGTCTGAGTAGGGGGGGGGAGAGACGGAGAGGAGAGTCATTGAGCCTTGGCACCAGCCAGGCAGTTGTTTGGCCTTGGCATCAGCCGGGCGTGTTGTTGATTTGGCCTTGGCATCAGCCCTGGCAGGCGGGCACGCGGGACATGCACACAAGCGCCAAAGGGGCGCAGCACCGACCTAACCCGTCGGAGGTGGGGGGAAGGGAGTCCCGCCGGGTTCCCCTGCGTGAGCGCGAGAGTAACCCCAGGGGAGGGCTGAAGATGAGCGGTGCGCGCAGGGGTCGAAAGGGTTTAAAAAAGGGAATGTACGTAAGAGCCAAATACATTGAAAAAAATACTAAATTGTAAAAGTACGACACTCCCCCGGTCGGGACTCAGTCCAATGTGCATTCGTTGCGAGGATCGAAGCTGGCTCGGCGCGCCGCAGCGGCGTGATGGGCCACAATGGCGTGATGAGCAACACGGCCCGCTCGCTGAGCGATGGCACGACGAGCGGGTGAGCGCGAGCGGGACAATTACGATCAGCGCAATGACCGGTCCCAGTCCCATAATTCCAGAAAAAGGGGGCAGATAAAGCACCCCAGAAAGGCGCTAAAAAAAAAAGCAGCGCGGCAGCTTCTGCATCGTTCTTCAGCTCGCATGCTCGCTCTAGCCTCGTTTGGACTGGCGGGCTCACCGCAGCGCCCTGCGGTGCCGCACGGCGTGGCGCGGGCTCGCCTGCCCGTCGCCGCCGTCGCCGAGGAGACGGTCGCAGAGGACACCTGGGCCGGCGCCGAGACGTGGTCCAAGGCATTTGCCGAGCCGGAGGCCATCTTCGAGATCAACCGCATCAAGGAGATCCTGCCGCACCGTTACCCCTTCCTGCTGGTGGACAAGGTGATCGAGTTTGAGGCCGGCAAGCGCTGCGTCGGCGTCAAGAAGGTCACGTCCAACGAGGAGTTCTTCAACGGCCACTTCCCGCAGCGGCCAATCATGCCGGGCGTGTTGCAGGTCGAGGCAATGGCGCAGGTGGGCGGCCTGGTGGCGCTGCAGGAGCCGATCACCGACGGTAAAGGCGATTTCTTCTTTGCGGGCGTCAACAACGTCAAGTGGCGCCGGCCGGTCGTGCCGGGCGACACGCTCGTGATGGAGATGGAGCTCACGGCGTTCAAGGCCAAGTTCGGCCTGGTCAAAATGAAGGGTGTCGCCTACGTGGACGGACAGAAGGTCGTCGAGGGCGACTTCCAGTTCGCGATGGTCAAGTAGTTGCCTCGTTCCCAAGTACTACCTTGAGTGATCATTCAACCAACATTAAATCGACCTCTGTGTTCACACACGCGGCTCTTTTATTTTGTGTGTGCTCGACACACTCTGATACACACGCTCACAGCAGGCCGACACCTGTCCTCGCCGATCACTACAAGGGCGCAACTCGAGAGCTCTCTCCCACAGACTCATCACTCAAGACACAAGAGCGCGGGTGCGCGCGGGTCCACAGACCACAGCACACCCGCCACAAGCTGCAGCGTCGCCGTCGAGGCTCGAGCGTGAGGACATGTGCGCGAGCCAGCGCCTACACTTAAGAGTTGACTCACACGCTAGGAACCACTCGGCCCACCCACAGGCCCAATGAATCTCAAGAGTCAAGTGGCGGCGCTCCGCGCCTGTGCAGCGGCGCGCTCCGCGCGTGTTCTGCAGCGGCGCGCTCCGCGCGTGTCTCTGGGCGCTACATGCGGCCGTCGCCGTGCCCTTCATCAACCGTGCGCTCGAGAACTGGGGCGGGCTCAACTGGGAAGACCGCTTTCACCACAACGACAGGTCACATGCACAGAGCTCAGAGGGGCGGCATTGGAGCTTCGCTGCAGCGGGGTGTGGTCATGACGCGGAAGAAGGCAGAGACACAGCGTCTGCCAGACGCGTGCTACGACGTCAGGCCAGCTTCGAAGCAGCGTGGCCACAACTGACTGCAACAGATTGTCTTCATGTGTCTAGACTCTACCGGTACCGTGGCGCGCACATAGGTGCCAGCGCGCTCCGCGCGGTATCTAGCCAGCGCGCTCCGCGCGTGTGTCTGGCTAGCGCGCTCCGCGCGTGTGTCCAGCTAGCGCGCTCCGCGCGTGTGTCCGGGTAGCACCAGCGCGCTCCGCGCGCACGATAATCCAGTGCCTACACTTGTAGGCAAGCTGAAAGCTTGTTTCTGCAGCTTGGGTCCACACAGACAGAGGCTGTCACGAAGTCAGTCTCGGCTCAGAGTGACAGTGTACACAGTGAGATGTGAGTGCGTTCGAAAACCCCTTAGGCCCTTAGGACCCCCCCCCCACACACACACACGCACACACAAACACCTCATCCTTCAAAAAAAGGAGAATGCTGTACTCGTCTCGCTCGCAACTTACGGCTGGTTACGCCATATGTTTATTTAAGAGTGCACACCACAGTGCACTATATAGTCTAATATAGTCTATAGAGCTCATACACCGTTAACGATCATGTAAGCGATGTACGGTCGGCTCACGCGTTGGACCACAACATCACAACGCAATTGTGTGTTACAACACGTGCGGTGTCGGCAGGTCTCCGTACCTCCTCGCAAGGCCGGCCAGCTGCTTTGGGTCGTACCCCACTGGGTAGCGCACGCCCTGCTCGCGGTGCGACTGGTCGTCGAGCCGCTCGTAGCTGCCTCCGTCCCCCGGGCGCAGGCAGGTCGCCACCGAGGCGCAGCCGAGCGTCTCGAGCAACCACTGCGCGAGCGGCGCGTCAGTCGTGCCACGCAACTCCGGCGCGAGGGCCGGGTCGAAGGGAAGGAGTGCGAGGGAGAGGGTCGCGCTGACCGGGCGGTGGTCCGAGGTCTGCAGCTGTGGGTGGGCCATGTACGCCTTTGGGGGGGGGGGGGGGGCCAGAAAAATGGAGGGTGAAACCAGAAGGAACGCCGAAGGGGTTATCTTTGGCCCCCTAGGGGCGGCGAGGCGTCGGGGTTTCCCCACCCATCGCAGGCTACGAAGCAGGCCACCAAGGACCACCACCGCATGGGCCTTGGATACGCCTGGCCCATGTATTCTCTTGGCCCATGAATAC